AATGAAATTAAAAATTAAAGACTTTCAATTTGTCGTTGTATTTTTTATGGTTGAATACTAAAAAATTAAATTAAGCTCTTCTTCGCGGTGCACAAAGTCAACAGCTATATTATGCAGTGTTTACTTACATTTAGATGCTCGTTTATTTCATATACGGACATTTTCCTCACATTTAATTAAAATGTCAAGTTTCTTGCATAAGTTGCAAAATAATTAGAAATCTGTGTACGTGTCATTAGGGACAAAAGTGTAAATTGGACAAAAGTTTAAAATAAAAATTATGTAAAAGTTAATCTTTCATGGGAATGTTATATAAATACTTTTTTACTACTCAAACGCATGGGATAACTGAGAGAAATTTTGCGCAAATTTATTCCGATTTGAAATGTTAATACAAGATTAATAAATTAAAATCATCCTCATATGGCTTGTTTTGAATGAATTCAAACGACCTAAATAAATTAAATTATAAATTAAAAGTATTAGGCATAATTCATCGGTTCATGGGTTATTCAAATAAATTTAATGAGAGTGTAAAGTTCTAGTTTCATAATAAACGTCATTAGTGACGCACTTGAATCAAGTATAAATGTAATAGTATGTACATATTAATGAAAAAAATTACAATTACGAAATGAAATTTCCAATATTTTTTTCGTTTGTTTATAAAAGAATTTCTCAATGAGTTTGAAAGGAAGTTTTAATAGTAAGTTCCGAAAAATGTGGGTGGTTGATTATTAAAACAATATTTGGGATGCATTGAAAAATTAAGCCATAACATAGTTTTGAATAATTAATTGCTATATAACTTTACTTTTAATAAAAAAAATATGTTGAACGAAAAACCTTTTTTGAGTGAATATTTTAACAACAAGAATCTATTTTTGTTATAAAATGTTCGCTATTTTTCGATGCGGAATTTATCGTTTTATATTTTTGGCATCTTCCATAATAACATTATAAATTAATAAAATTCTATATTAAAATAGACACTAATTTGTTTATATCACAAAAAATTTGTGATTTTATGGAATAAATATTGCGCAGATTTCTTCAAAATCTGTTAAATCAAAACATCCAGCAAAAAAATGTTTAATATAGCAGTACTTGTAGTTTTTCTCTAAATCGTCCAAAACACATAGCAAAAAATATCGAAAAAGTAAAGAAAATTGATTTTACACCTCAGCTTTAATGTGATTAATAGTTGTAGCAAACTCGATCATATGGTGCTTCCGTAGATTTTTTTTAAATTAAAAACCCAATTTTTGATAGAATATTGAGCTTATAGTTTCGAAAAAGACATCACATGAATGTTTTCAAACACATAAAAAGACAAAAAACTAAAATTTAATTAAAAATGCAATGACCCAACAAGACACAATATTTAAACTGGAATCACTAATCAAATATGAATACTTATAAATCAAACAAACTTTAATAAAATTTTCTAAATCTTGAAGCAAGAAAACACAATATTTGTGAAAGAATCTTGACTCTTTCGCCTTGAACTGTTGTTTACAATAGAAGGAAATACCCCATTAAAAAATTAAAATGGTTCAATGCACAAAATTAACAACCGTCTCATTCCTTTTTCACTCGACATACAGTACTCATGCTTCTTGCCATTTGAAGCAATTTTCTTTCTCCTTTTTGAAAACGGAGAAATAAGAAGAGCTTTGTTTGTAGGAAAAAGTCTCAAAGTTAAAAGCAGAGAATAATGCAAGAAAGTCGAACATGGAAGTGAGAAAAGTTAAGTTTTGGATGAAATAAATTTTATTTTTCCCAATTTGCCTTTAACCAAAAGAAAAGGAGCCAAAAATTTCTAAAAATAAAAACTTTTGCTACAATAAGAATTTTTTTTTGGAGAGAAAAAGTTCATTAAGGAAAATTTGTAAGGAACAAATTATTGCTTCACTTTATAAATGCAAGAAAAAAAAATATGAAAAACAGACAGGAAAAATGAAAATGTATGAGGAACCGCAAAAGAGTTTACTTACTTGACGTTTTTATATCGTACATATTTTTAAAAAAATTGCCTACATTTTCACCTTCGCTTTATATTTGCCCTCGTTCTTTTCATTTTTATTTTCCTCTGGATGTAATCCATTTTTCATGTCAGCCATGCAAAGTTAGGCAATGTGACGATGTCAGTGAGAATGTGGAAATGCTCATCTTTGATGTAGGTTATGGTAATTAGTTAAAAATGTTCCTACTGTGCCTACCACACATTTCAATTGAAAAAGTTTAAGGCGTGCCTTAAATTTGAGCACATCAAATTTTAATCCCTCGATATGCTTTAAATTCTTAAACTTTTTCATCCATATTCTAACATTCTCAAGATACTTTAACTTTAAAGTATATGACAATGCTAATAAAAAGCTATTCATCATAATGTTGTGACTGAAAGTTATTGTAGAAAAGCTTTGTAAATCAAGGTTCTATATTAATAAATTTTCCGCATTCTTCCATCAACTATAAATTCATTAAACATCAGGATCGTCAACACAGGAAAAAAAATACACTAAATGAAAGACAATGCAATTATATGACATCTTTTCCGCATCATCTCGTCAGCTACCGTAAAAGAAAAAAAAAATTATGTTGCATGACAATTTTTTCATATTCTATTGTCAAAGCTTAATATGAACGAAGGGGTTCAAACTGTAAATGTATGTCATTACAAGTGCAACGTCAATTGATGTTCACTGCATTGTCAATTGTGCTTGAATAATTTACGTTGCAGAAATTTTCATTTAGTGATAAATCACATTGGAGAGAAAAGAAAACAGCCTGAAATTGTGCACTTTTCCACTTCCTTCACAATATAAATCTCCTTCTTTTTCCTCTCTTTCCTTGTATGAGAAAAGAAAGATGAAAAAAAAAATAAATTTGAATGCACTCATGCAGTAATATAAAGTTTGCATAAAAGATAAGATAGTGAAAGGTATATAATTTCATATATACATGAACGTGCTCTAACTCGTTCGCTGTGCTTCAACAATAGGAAATGTGCTTCTGTTGTAGCTACTGCTCTTCATTTTTAAAATAGATCACAACTTTTTGTGTTTGCTGCATAGAAGATTAATGTATGTAAAATTTCATTTGATGTAATAGACCTTTTCTATCCTACTCCACTCATTTTCTTGTAAAGTGTCTTCTTTTCGCCTCATTTCCTGATTGCCATTGTACGTTCTTCTCAGCACATGTCACACATACATATTTATGTGGAAAATATGCACAGCTATGATGTAATTTAATTATCTACTTATTTATTTACATTTACATTTCTACGATAGCCAAAAGCATATTGTTGTTCTACATCTGACGAGTCGTCACTCGCCAACTCGTTTCATATGATAAGTGCTCACTGCGCATTGCAAATATTTTTTTTTTAATATTTTCAAAAACTGCTTTTAGCAATTCCAAATGCCTTTAGCTAGAGAAAAATGGGCAGTTATGTATAAAGGAAAAAACAAACAGAACAAGGCAGATTGGAGCGGACGATGGAGAGAAGTTTAATTAATTTGTGTAATAGTGTTTTTCCAAAACATACACAGAACATATCCAAACATTTGTGGCATTTATAACATGAAATCACATTGAAAGCGAAAACGTGAATAGAATTTTAAAAACGATATGAAAAAAAAAATGTGAATGGAGATATTCAAACACAAGAATGAGAAATATAACGTAATGAAAACATATGTTCATATTATTATATGATATTCTGGTCATTTAAATATTATAATAACAATAAGGCTTTCGTAAAGCTCGGAAGCAAATAAATAGACACATACTTTTTGTACACATGTACATGTAGATCGAGAGAAAATAGAGGCAACAAAGTTTTTTTTTGCTATATGAAGTGTTGTGCTATTGTTATGGTTATAAAATTACTTGTAATGTTGTCATTTGAATAGCTATAGGCTCTTTCCAGTAAATCTTTTATTTTATTTCCTTTTAAAATAATTATTCTAAAGAAATTTAATTTAAAAAGTTCTTAGATGCTCAACTCAATCCATAAACTTTTTGTAAAGCGCTAAAGGCATTAATTTCAGCTTATTCTTCCAAACTTATTTCGTCATGCTCAATTTTTCATTTATTCTATATAATTTAGAAATTACTCGGTTATCGTATTGTCACTCGTACACTTGTGCTTAGTCTATGCTCAAATTTTTATTTATAAAAAATAATGATTGCGTAAATTCTAAATAATCATAACACGAAAAAAAACCGACTATGAGTGGTTAGAGTGAAACAGAATTATTAACAATAATTGGCATTTTGAAAGTGTATCAATTTATAATTGCGGAAAAGTGAGCTGGAAAAAAGTTTTAGTAGCATTCTGTAACTTGAGAGTTATGAATAAAAAAAAATAATCGTTAACAATTGTACAACGCGCGTTGTTACGAGACATTTAATTTCCGATTACTATTATGTATTTTTTTTTATTCGTTGCTCAAGCACATTAATACAAATTTCAACAACAGCAACAATAATAATAATTTGTTATAAAATAATTCTGTAGAGGAAAAGCTATGTAAAAATAAATGAGATTGATGTGTAAAGTGAAATGAAAAATTAGCAAGCAGTGATATATACAATTGACAATATTTTGTCGATAATGAAAACAAATTATTTTGATTATTCTGGGAAATCACGCATAAATAATATATATATTTTTTTGGTAGCATACACATCAATTATTTTCTATGCACTATTTAATTTGATTTTATTTTTTCATAAATTTTTTGTTATTATTATGCCAATCATATATTAAAATTTTTTGTACTTGCGAGTGGAATTTCATACCTTCCTTTAATAATATTTTTGAATTAGAAAATAATAAGCTTAAATTGTAATTTAACAATGATGATTTTACAGAGATGGTTTGTGGGATTTTAAAATTAAAATTATTATTTTTGGCAATGGTCCATCTCTGTTAAATCACAGTGATACATGGAAGAAGAAAAAAAAAATCAAAATTTTGAATTATGTTAATTTTTGCAGCATTATCTCATCAAATTCATTACACATTATCAAACAATCAAATTGTGATGAAATTTTAAAACAAATCGAAGAAAATTAAAAGGATAAAAATAAATTGTGAAAGATATTATACGTAGTTGATAATAAAGTGCTTAAAGGACATAAACTTTATATTAAAAAAGAATCAATTAATAAAACAAAAAGTGAAAAATATATAAAAATATAAATAAGCAACAATGCAATAAAAACAGGCTGTATTCTATTCTGCACATACTTTTGCGACATAATTAAGCAAATAAAATAAAAGACACATTAGAGAGCGTAACATAACACACCACGATAATTCCACAACATAGAAATCTCATCAATTTTTTATCTAATAAAAATCAAAGCAAGATATTCACCATTATTGGATATAGTTTTATATGTAAATGATAATATCACGTCAACAATAAAGTAACCGAAAAATACATTCTAAAGCAAAATTCTTGTAATATTGCGGGTACTTAGAGAGCATTCATAAATTACCATTGATCATCGACAACATCGACAAAAAAAAAACAGCAAATATTTAAGAAGGAAATTGAAAGCTTTAAAAAGAATATTAAATAAGAAGAAATCACTGCTTTAATTAATTAAAAAAAAAATAAAACTGAATTTATCAATAATGCTACATTCCAATTCATCACCGCCATTGCAATCCATTTTGCAACGAAATTGCTCGCCATTAAAGCAACAAAATTCAACAATGAATGGTGCAAGTAGTGCACAAGATAGTTATTTTATATTTGATGAATTATCGACGGCATTATCAGAACGAAATAATAATTCTGATGGCAGCAGTAAAATTATTGGAAATAATTCCAATAATAATTTTTCGAATAAGTCATCATCGAGTATTGGTTCGAGTATTGGTGGCTCTAATACTTCAACCGCCACAAATCTCTCATCAACATTCCAACGTCCACAATTCAACCATCAACAACAACATGTACAGCAACAGCAACAACAACAGCGATTTGGTTTTGGTGAGTTTTATCTAAATGAAAAAAAAAATCTATGAGACAAAGACAATAATTCTAGTCTCTCGCATTATAACTTCAAATAGAATGTCTATTTCATAAAATATTCATCACTAAGTTCACAAAAAAAAAAAACAGAAAAATAATACATACACACAGAAAAATAATGACATGAAACCTTAATGATTTCGCTACAATAAATTATTAAATTGTATAAATTAATTAATCAAGAGTAAAATTTACTGCGGCATATTAAATATTGAAACCACAAAAAAACCAAAGCTTTTACGAGCTGATGCGTTTTTGCCATGGAGTTACTAAATATGACACAATTGATAAAATAGGATGGTGTCAAAAAAATTGCGGTAAACGGAAATAAAAATCAAGAATATGAGAAAGAAAAAAAATCAAAAATTGTGTCATGAAAATATTTTGAAAAGTTCTCGAGAACACGTAAACTATGAGAATAAAGTTAAGCATTTTATTTGAAAATCATATATCACAACTTTCAGTATACTTTTTGTTGTTAGTAAAAGTCACATTGTTATATTTATTTATATTTATTGACATTACGCTGATGACACTTTAGGGGGTAAAATATTGATATTTTCATACGAAAAATTGCAATTGTTTCAGATCATTATTGCTGACTATTTACATTCTTCCTTCTGGTTGTAAATAAAAAAAAAGTTCTGGCTGAATAATGTTCAGATAGAGGAGATATTGAATAATAAAATGAGGAGTCTTTAGATATTGACTTTTTACTTCATCCTCAGAATAATGTACTGCTGCCTTTTGAAAAATTTTGTTTTGGGTTTGTTGATTTCAATTTCAAAATTTTTGGGATCAAAATTGTAAATTTATTGAAAATCATGCCACTTTTTAAGGGACATAGCTTTTCACACTAAATATAGCACTTAACTCAAATGCAGCTTTCAGTTTAAATTCTTTTTGCTTATTTTTAATTTCCAAACTTTCAATTGATGAACAAAAAAAAGAATTAAATTGATCAATTATTTATTATTTCTTCCTTTTCTATCTTCATATATATCAATATACAGCATTATGACATTAAGAATGAATAATTTTTATAAATTGTATATTAGTATGAATGTTTAACATATCGAATCAATCAGAAAAGAAAAAAAATCACAAGCAAATACATTCTTTATATTTAAAAAAAATATTTATACTCCTAATGTTAATATATTAGTTAAGTTTCATCACCAGCCTAAAAACCAAATCAAGCCACTTCTCGAACCAAAACCATCATCATCATAACATTCAGATAAAAAAAAATTATATTTATAAATCATCATCATCATCATTCTACTACCTACATCCACCTACTACTTTTATGCTACTAAATCGCTACCACCACCGTGAACTATATAATTTTCATCAAAAATGCATTATCACCAAGCTGCCAGGAATTCAAGATTCTTTTTAATAAGCATTTAATTATTTTTACAAACAAAAAAAAACATGAAATGATAAAATTCAATTATTACTGAAAAGTATGTGCCTTAATTACCATTAAAAATAATGCAAAATTGTAAATTTTATGATTTTATTTCAGTAGATACACATAAACATTTCTTTATAATAATAATTGTGTCAGAAATTTATTTTCTTTTTAAAAGATTATGCCACCTCATGAGGTGCTGAAAAAATTGTTATGAGTTTCATGTTATAAGCTGTATAAAGAAAGCATAATGAACAAATGAAAAAAAATTGTAGACTTGAATAATTTTTGGTGCTGGAAATTCATTGAACTGAGATCAATTTATCATGTTGGAAATCTCTTCTGACCATATTTGCATTAATATCATTAAAATGTTGCTCCGTATAACCCATGGGACAATATTTAAATGATTTCGGTTGCGTGATTTATATCTGGCTTCTTATGGTTAGATTTGTAGACTTTAGGATGTTTATTGATATGCTGCATAGTAATTTTTTTTAAACCTTTTAACTAAGGCTTAGATATATACATTTCTGGCTAAGAAAAGCAAATCAGTAGACATCCCTTTAAGCACTGAAATTTCCGGATCATGAACACATAAGCTAGAGTCACTTTTGTATCTATAATAAAATTCCTACGCCAAAAAATGCCTAGTCTATCAAATTTAAAACTCAATAGTAATATTTTGTGATGCAAACATAACTCATACAATTTCTTCATCCCTGATCATGATATTAAAAATACATATTATGCTTCTTTTATGTTTTTCTCTCTCAAAAACATATTTTTTTATTTTATTTATATTTATTTGATTTTTAACGATAACTAAAACAACAAAGAAAAAAATTAAAATTCAAAAAAAAACTGTTGTCACATTGTTTAGGGTCATTTACACAACAACAGCAGCATAATTTTTTAATACAAGAGTGAATGAAGACGTTAAATGTGATAAAAAAACCAAATTGCCACTAATGATTACGTGGAACGAATAGATAATCGAACGATGGTCGAATCACAATTAAAGTCTTCATTCCTTTCTCTTTTTCGCGAAACGAAAAAAATTGTTTGTTGTTTTTTATGGATTCAGGATTATTTAATCATCATCAATTCATTATTTTATTCATCTTTCTAATGATTAATAATTACAAGAAACAGAAAACAAAATTGTTTCAATTTTTGCAATAAAACATTTCTTAATTTTTTTAAATTCACTACAAATTTTCATCCATTTGTCTATTTATTACATTAATGTCTTTCTCTATCTATTATCTATGAATAAGTTTTTCTCTAGATTGCATGGCTTTCCTTCACATTATCCCTCCTCAATCATAAATGCGTGAATGGTTATTGTAGAAGGAATTTTTTTTGAATAAAACTTAGCAGCAAAATATTAATCAAATTATTTTAAAATGTGGGAACGACACACGAAAAGGATTAAGATACATACACAAACAATTCTTAGTGCCTTAAGAAGGATCAGAAACTTTTGCTGCTGGGGGCATTGCTTTTTCATTTTTATTATTTCAACTCGTCGAATGAATTATAATATAATAAATAAACATCATCCTAGTCTGTAAATATATTCGCATTTTTGTATCTCGTGACAGGCGTAATATAGACATAAACGAGATATGGCGTCATAATAATAAACAACAACAAAAATCACTGATGTATTATTTGTTTCATTGGATAATTTTTCAAAATCAGAGAAAATATGTATACAATGTATTCTACAGTATGCTTTTATCGACTGTTATTATTCATTATAATCATCATAAATATTTATACACATTTGATACTTTTCATTCATGTAGTGAAAGGAAGAAGTAAACATAAAATATATTGTCTTATAATTATGATCATTATCATCAATATCCATTTGACTATTCTTATTCTTACCTACACTCGATAAAATAATAACGACTTGATATAAAGTTGATTTCTTTATGTATAATGACCTCGTCATTTATTGCCTGCCTACGAATCTTAAGAAATTTTTATCGCCTCAAAAATAAGTTCTTTTTGCATTTAAAATGCTCTGAATATAGCAGTTGGTCATATTATTAAGTATTTCATTTAGATCAGCTTATTACGCAAAAACGAGCAAACATTTCAGGCAAAGATAGCACAAAATTTGAATATTGAATTCTCAGAACTATTTTCTAATTCAAAATTAAAGCTGCATTAAAAGTTCAAGTGAACATCGACATGATTTCATGTTTAAACTTTCACATAGAAACTAATCCTTCAAGCAGTCACTAAGGTTGTTATATATGTTTATATTCAACTGAATACTTTTCATGATTTGCTATGTTGATGTTAATTTCCCAGAAGGTCTGTTAAATCCATCAAGTCTTGACTGAAAGTGAATCATTTAGTTGATTTTCATTTCCGATATTTACCTTCTGTTGATTTCTATCAATTACAAGTTCGGCTTTTTTAACCGATCTTAATTTCTAGAATAAGATTAATTTAGACATCAACAAAATGAAAAATTTAATTCAAATTATGACAACAATTTCAGTTCTCATTAAATCGTTATTATCTTTCAAGTTGAAGCTTATTAAAGTTCAAGATATTCTTAGAAATTGGGTTTTTGCGTTGTGCAACTTCTTCTATTAAATTTCTACAGTGTGGATAGAAATAATTTCTTAAAATATTAGCTTAAAGTACAACAACGAACATTTTTGAGGACCAATAGAAAAAGTTTTTTGAAAAGTTGATAATAATGATGGGGTTGTATCTATGCTGGATCATAATTTATTCCAAAGTATTGAAACGAGAGAGATATTTTAATCTCATAATTTTCAATTGATATCAAAAATTCAATTTTTCAAGCCTTTTTCCCTTTTTTCCACAAAAAAGCTTTAAATCCTTCAGTAAAAATAGATAAATCCTCATCATGCCCTCAATAATACAAAATGTGAACCTTCTCAATCTTTTTTATAAGATCACAGAAGCATATAGAAAGCAATGACACAAAGTGGTCTATTAATGAAATTGCTTGTAATTCCTTGAGTACAAAGGAAGATTTAGCAACTCATTTAGCTCAACAAAGATACTTCCGTTAACTCTTTAAGCCTTATTTATGTTTCAATTTATTTTATCTCTCTACGTTCAGTAATTGCACACAATTCAACATCTTATGACGCATTATCTTCATTTTGCTTATCTCTCATATCATTCTATGTATTTGGATGTACATAAAAACATTAAATCCACATTTGTAGAAATATGAAAATTAAAGATAATTGATACAACTGATAAATTGTGATAAATTTCCATTTATAAGCATTAAACGCAAGTTCTTTATTTCTCGCCCTCATCTATACACATGACTCCTTTTTTCAAATGAACACCTCATGATATGCTTGGACATAATCATTTTAAAATCACTTTTCATCATCACCTCTTTAATTCACTTCATTTTATAAAATTTATGAAAGTAATTATTTATTTTGCAAGCTTCTTTATTAAAAAGTTTTTTGGCTTTTAATTCAAAGCTCCCTTTATGATATATACGAAAATTTGTACTTGAATC